AGGGAGGGAGGGAGGGAGGAAGAAAGGCAAGGGGAAGATAACAAAAAGGAAGAAAGAGGAAAGAAGGAAGAGAGACAGAGGAAATAAGAAAGAAGAAGATAAAGGAGAACGTAGAAAATCAGGAATGGGAAAGGTAAGAATGGAGAAGAAAACCTTAGGTATGTCCAGGGCAAGGCTTTCATTTAGACTTACACATTTAAAGATGTGTGGTTGACTCTAGAAACAAACAAGCGTGTGCAGACATGATGCCCGAACAAGAAGGGCCTTGGAGAAGACGGCTGAGCCTCCCTCTCGTCTCCTGGAGTCTCCTAACTTGGCACACATTAGCCGCATCAGTGTCTGGTCCTCATAGTGGCATAGTCTTATATAATCCTCTCAGAGAGGCAGACAGATCTCAGAAGTTCTTTACTCTTCCTTGGAGCTACTTTATCTTCATCCTTTCTGGGTACTGATGCCAGTGAATGCGGTTAATAAAACCATGCTAGATGGCCAGCCATTAATTCTGCTACTACTCCACAGCCATTGCAGAGTTCCCCTGTAAAGCCAGAGACTAACCAGAGTACAGGTTTCCCTGAAGCTGTGATGACTCCATAAGCAAGCCAAATCCATGAATTTCTAACAATCCTCCCATATTAATCCCCACAGACTTCCTTCTTCCTGTTACAGATCATGAAAGATCTACTGTCTTCAAAACATCTTCTAAAATCAGGGATTTAATATGACAGTGGGATTCTGTATTTTCTGGTTCATTTTGATTCATCTCCCTGGTGGTACATGGTTTGAGTTTGTGCAGTGCCTGAGTTTGCGCTACAGCTCTGTGAGGGACACATGGACTTCAGGCACAGGTGCTGTGAGTTTAGACTTCAAGTCTCCCATTACCACCAAGCAGGAAAGGATGACTGAGAGCAAGTTATTGAGGAGATTAGGGGGCACAAATGAAGGAAAACACCTTGTGGACCAGGAAATTGTCATTCCAAAGGGAAATGGGGGAGTGGGCAGGGGCTGGAACTATGCTGGCTGCTAGCTGAGCATGGCTGGAGGCAGAGCTGTGTGAGGAGGGACTTTGGGAACCAAAACCAAAGTCCTTAGTTAAAACTCCCCCAGCTCAGACCACACCTTCTCAGATGCACTGTGGCAGGCATAAAGCAAGAAGGCAAGAGGGCGCAATCTGCCGCAGATGGAATCTAGGCCTGGTGACCAATGCTGCTTCGAGGCAGCATCAAGGAAATTCAGAGTAAGCTAGGGACAGCTCCAGGGTCTTGACTGTGTGCTGTGACAATCTGATGGCAGAGAGGCACGATGTGACCAGATGGGAGAGGGCTTGTAAGGAATGGCCACATGGCCTGCAAGTAAAAGCAAGGCCCTAATAATGACTTCTCTTACAACAGCCAGCAAGAAGAAGATGGACTCAAATAAAGATAAATAATTTAAAAATAAGGAAAGTGGATTTTTTTTTATTTTGGTTTTTTGAGACAGGGTTTCTCTGTGGCTTTGGAGGCTGTCCTGGAACTAGTTCTTGTAGACCAGGTGTGGTGGCACATACCTTTAATCCCAGCACTCAGGAGGCAGAGGCAGGCAGATCTCTGTGAGTTCAAGGCCACCCTGGGCTACAGCCAGGGCTGTTACACAGAAAAACTTTGTCTCAAAATAAACACACACACACACATATACAAAAGTAAAGAGCATCTCCCTGAAAAGTTGGACACAAGAATGTTGACTCTCTCCACTCTTTTTTCAATATGGTCTTTAAAATCTTAGCCAGAGCAATAAATCAAGGAGGTGGGGGAATGAGATACAAATAGAAGAAAATCTAATGCATATCACTAAGTGAAAAAAAGCTTATCAGAAGAGAATAAAGACCATGATTCTAATCATGTGACATCATAAAGACAGTTATGACCTCTGTGGTGCCAAACATGAGAGGAGGGAGCAGAGGGATGAACCAGTACAGAGGAGGTTTGGGAATGGAGTGATCTGTGTGACACAGTAATGTTGATGCTTTTATACATTTGTCCAAGATCGTGAAATAAAATGACCCAAATATCTACTGTGGATTCAGCCTGAGAATGACATGAGAATGGCTTTGTTACTGCTCCAGGATGTATCAATCAGGTAATATTGGTAGTGGGTGAGGTGTACATGGATAAGGTGGTGGTGGTGGTGGGTGGGTGTACATGGAGTTTATATAGAGATCATGAATGATCTATGTACTCCTTTCTGCATTTTTCCTATGAGGATACACCAGTTAAATAAATTCTATTGAAAATATGTTTACACATGCAAACAGATGCACACTCTACAGTTGCACTGAAGACTTGACAACTGAGCCTAGGAAACTGAAAGGCTGATAAGATATGATCACAAATGGAAAATGAAGAGCACTTTAACCTTTCATGGTGAACTAAATTCTAAATTCATCCATGGAAACTGACAATTCTGTATTCAATAGATGGCCCTGCCACTAAAAGTCTACTAATGCTAATGAGAGTATAAAGCATTCCTAGGTGAAATAAGTTTGAAAAGGAATTTCATAATGTAATACTCTCAAGACTTTGTTACAAAAGCAGAACATTTCAAGGATTTTTTAAATACACTATATAAAGGAAAATGTGAAAGCCATTCCATATCCCACATTGTACTGTTTTTTTTTTTTTAAGTAAGACATGAGACAGCAGAAATGTTCACAGTATTAGTAATTAAATGGAAACTTGCAGCTTAGTAGGAATATAGTCTTATTCATTCAGCTGTGTCCTTATTTATACTTAGCAGGTCATAAAGAAACTATGAAGGACTATCTAACTCAGCCACATCTTAAATTACCCATAAGATATTTATTACCTTTTATGAACATCAGGGCATAGCTGAAGGTCATGGGGGACACGGGTAATACTGCTGCCAACAAGTAACAGCAGAATGGAGAACAAGGAACAGAACAATGCTGATGTCAAGGTCAAGTTCATACCTAGCCTCTAGGGCGTGTGTGTGTGTGTGTGTGTGTGTGTGTGTGTGTGTGTGTGTGTGTGTGTGTACTGGGAGCACACATGTGTTTCAGAGAAATTCCATTATTCATAGTCAACAATAGTAAAAGTGTTAAACAAATGGATTTAAACAATGTTAATTCAGGCTGTGGCTGGCTAGTACTCTTGTTCAAGTTTCTAATGAGAGAGAACAGCAAGTGCCACACTGAAAATTTCATTTTAAAAACTCAAACTCATTTGGTAGAGACAGATCTGAGAAGCCCCAGAATGTCTTCTGCTTAAAAACAATGACCTGGGGAAATGTTTCTTCAGATTCAGCCACCACTGCACGCAGAGGCCACTACATCTGTAGTAGATGTGACCCAGACAACATCTGGAGCTTTTGGCAGCATCATACATATGACATTTCCTGTTCAGGTATGCAGAATGCAAATATTATGGGGTCATTGAGGCTTTCACCAAGATCCCAAAGGCCACTGAGGCTATTCAATTTGTGGCAGGGTCCAGTTCTCTGTAAGGATAACTGGAAAGGCTGTCCGTGCGTGAAGCTGTGAAAGTGACCCCTGAATTGCAGAGGAGACTCTATGATATTGGAGATGCCAATGCAGGAGGATGTCTACCAACAAAAGCTTCAGGCAGAGTGGAGCCAGCACTCATATGCTCTATAGAGACTCTAGACTCTATATAAAGAGTATGTGTGCTGTAGGAGACACATCAGAGGGGCACACAATTATGAGATCCAAAAGAGTCCCAGAAGAGACTTTGGACTATTAAACAGTGGCTAATACAGTTTAGACTACAGAATTTTAGGAAAATAGCCTTTGAACCAGACATAGTGATGCATGCCCTCAATCCCAACACTCCAGAAGCAGGTGGATTTCTGTGAATTTGAGGCCAACATGGTCTACATAGTGAGTTCCAGGTCAGCCATTGCTACACAGTGAGGCTTTGTCAAAAAAAAAAAAAAAAAAGATCTTGAGTCTATGGGAGCCAGGAACAGAATATCAATATTGCTTCATGTCAGGTATTAAAACCTACCACACGTATTTCCATACAAATATGACATTGTGTGAAAAACCCACTCAACAAGTCAGTGTTTTGACTGGCGTGTCATGGGAGAACCCCTACAGTTAACTTCATTCTCATTTGGTGCATGCTTCATACTGGCAAGTTCCAGCTAGCAATGTGGCCTCAAGGGGGACTTGTCTCCATGTGCAATAATCTAGAAGTTCAGTGAGGACAAGCCATCATTATTAAAGAAGGGTCAGGTGGCCAGGCACATGCTTCCAAAGAGCCTTCAACCACCAAAGTAACTATATGTCAGAGACCTCAGTGAAGTTGAGGAATATTGCAGTACCATCTAGGATTCCTTTCACAGTGTCAGACTGTTTGTTCTCACAGAAACATGCTGTTTTTACATTAAATGATAATAGAACAAATCAACAGGGAACTGAAATAGTCTAAAAACTTCACAGGACAGAATTTTTAAAAATTGGCTGACTTTAATATTTCCAAGATTATGTCCTTAGCCTCACAGAATGTATCTGAGTCCAGACCTTTGTTTTGCAAATGAAAAAAAAAAAAAAAACATGGTAGAGAGACCTCGATAATTTGCAAAAGTCACACAGGGAGTTAGTTGTTGGATAAGCCTTATTCGAATAAAACTTAGCACAAATAATGTTTTTACAGATGTATATGCAGACAAGTAGAAGGCGGACCAAGAGGAATATAGAACCTACATGGGATTTCAAACAACTGCAGCAAAGAGTGAAGTTCTTGACTCTTGGGTAAGCTCAGAGAACAAAGACTGGTTCTGCTGGTTCCACCACACTCCCTGGAAGAAAAGGGGAGGCTTGCAGTCAAGGTAGGAAAACCTTGGTTCCTAAACCTCAGAGTCCCAACTCCTCCTCAGCAGGGTCACTAACAGGTGAGCTTAGCAATGACTCTGGCTGACTGGTTTTGCAGTCATTTCAAACACCCAATGCCAACATTTGCTGGAGTTTTTTTTTTTTTTAAGATCATATATGGATGTTCACTCCTATCCTTATTGGGATAGTTATCATCAAATACTCAGGGAAGATACCTCAGAAACGTGTTGCAAATGTTATATATGGTTGGGGTTGAATTTAAGTGGGTCAATGAGGCAGAAGAACAATTCACACCTAGGAGTTTTTTCTCTTCTCATCCATGCCCTCTCTTTTTTTTTTTTTTTTTTTGCTTTAAGTTTAGCCCCAAGAATTTAGTTGATCTCAATTCATGAGTTAAGATAAATAGGAGAGCATAGGCTTAATTTTAGCACATAACTTCCCTCCTTTAAACTAATCCTCAACATCATTGTATAACCATCTTTCCCTGGGAAGTCATTCTCATTTACTAACTATTCTTCCAAACCAGACATACATTCACCATATAGTGTTGCTGTTGGCTATGTGTTTTAGTTTATAAACATGTGCAACATAAATTGGACTACCTGGGTTTAAAAAACAGAGAGAGAAAACATGAAGAGAAAACATGTAAGGGAGGGACTGGATCTAGGAAGAGTTAGAAGGGTGGTAAATATGACCAAGAGACACTTCATGAAGCTCTCAAAGAATAAAATGTTTTTAAATGCTGAGCGGTGGTGGTGCAAACCTTTGATCCCAGTACTCAGGAGGCAGAGGCAGGAGGATCTCTGTGAGTTTGAGGCCAGCCTGGTCTACAAAGCTACACAGAGAACCCCTGTCTCAGAAAATATATATATATATGCATTGCATGTTACTCTATACACACCCATTCCCTTATAGCAGGGTTTCTGGGCCTCTCCCCTTCTTTACTGCACAGAACAAGTTCTTGCTAGTCTCATCAGATTTCTTGAAGGTTGTAAAAGGAGAGAGTTACATAGCAATGAGATACCTATACATTCCATTCCAGCAAGCAAGTTTGGTTTTTTATGTATTTTGTCTTATTACTTCATCAATTTTGCCAAATGTCTATGTTAAATCTTTATACAGAACCAGCTTTTGGCATTTTCACTCAGTTCAATTTTTCAAACCTATTTTATTGTTTAATTTGCCAGTGGAACATCTCTGCTCTGGCTTTATCACATTGATCTACCATGTTAAAATACCGGCTAGTTCTTACTACAAATATCTGCCTGTTCTTCCCAGCAACTCTCAGTTCTTATGCATCTAACGCCATATTATCTGACTTCAATGGGCTTACGGGTTTATTTCCTAGATTCTTTACAGTGGCATAACTGAATACCAGTTGTGAAGAGTCTCCTAATTCCACATATAATATAGCCTTTATCTTTCCTTCATGGTGTCTCTCTCTTTAGATGCCCACCTTTGTCAGATATGGGAATTACTATGCTTGCTACCTTCTACTTAACACACATTTTTTGCAAGGGTTTCTTTAACTTATCTATGCTTTTTGTTTGTTTGTTTGTTCTCTGCTGTCTAGATATGAAAATAAATTCATTGCCTCTAATATCTCCTTTGCAAACTTCAATCTATACAACTTCTGAGTAGGGTATTTAGTTCATATACAATCACTATAATTATGATTCTTTGATGACTTATTCTGTACCTAGGTGTATGATGTATGAGCATATGCACGCATTTTTATTTGTGTGTGGAGTGCGGGCATGAGCATAATGCAGTGGACGTGTGGAGGTCACAGAACAACCTTCAAGTCCTCCCTTGCCTCTCCTCCTTGTCTGAGACAGTCTCCTGACCACAATGTAAGGGACAAGCCAGCCCATGAGCTTATGGAGATCCTCCTGTCTCCACTCCCATCTCACCAGAGGGGCAGCTGGTGTTACTGGTGTGTGCTGTACATCCAGCTGTCACGTGGGCTCTGGGAATTTGAACTGAGGTCATGAGCCTTACTGGCAGGCACTTTTACCCAGTGAGCCATCTTCCCATACTTACAATTCACTCTAGTAATTTTATATTTTCAACGTTTCATGTTTACTCTATGTTTTTTAATTTTATTTTTTAATTAAACATACATCTTTCCCCCTTCTTTCTCTTCCCTTCAACTCTTCCCATCTCTTCCCCTTGTTCCCACTCAAGATTATGGTCTCTTTTTCTGTTATTGGTGTGCATGTGTGTGTTTCTACGTGTGCTTACATACATAAATGCAACCTGTTTGCTCCCTTAGTATTGATTACATGCATATGATTTTCAGAGCTGACTACTTATTAACTAAGTGGGGGCAGGGGTCTCATCCCTAATAAAGACTATGTCTCCCACTCTCAGCATTCCTCGGTTTCCTGAAGTTCTTTGGCTAGAGGTGAGGTAAAGTCCCTTGCAACCCCCCCCCCTTATTTTCTATTCTTCTACTCCTTTTGACATAGAAAACCCTCTTCTGATGGATTTAAAAATGGCCATCCCTTTTTTATTGTTCTGGTATCTAAGTAACTGAATCATGCTCAGGGTAGTCATTTGTCTTCCTGAACTCAGTGCTTACCTAGGCAATCGTACCCTTCACCGGGTATCTTCTTGTTTACAGTTCCATTTCCTTGGTTGTTTTCTTCTTGACTTATTTCTATTCTTGTTATCATGGGTCTTCTAAAATATTTTTCATGAATGACTTGTGGAGCTTCGTCATGAGTTTTTATATACCTAAAATATTTGAGGCTGCATTATCATGGTAATTTAAATAACAACTTAGTTCTCTTCATCCAGCATGTGAATGTTTTATTCCATTTTCTTTATGCACCTATCAATACTGCTGACACTTTGAGAACAACCTTGTCTTTGGGGATTTATTTGTGGATGCTGTGATTTTCCTCTCTGGACAACTTTGTCACTATCTCCCATCTGGATGTTTTGTTTCCACAGGAATGTGTGTAAGGGCGTATGAGCTGCATTTATTGTCCCTTCTTTGCACTGGGCTCCCTGTGAGGATATTGGTATTCTCTGTCTCTTGGTTTCTTGGATTCACTGAGCTATTGTCACTCCCAGTCATCTCTGCTTGCTTTGCTTTGTTTCCATGAGTCTTAATTCTTCTGTTCATACTGCTCACATCTCTTTCATGGTCTTTGTATTGACTGCCAGCCACCTAGTCCTGATACCCGTGCTTCGTTTGACCATTGCCATAGAATCAGTTCATTGTGTGTTTTACATTTTGTTGTATTACTTGCATTTTATTTTAAAATATTCCCATTTTCATCTTCTTTGTGGACACCTAGTTGTGCTTGGGTCCTCAATCCTCTGTCTCATCTCTCTGAGCACTCCTGTCATATTGGGGTTTTTTTTTCCAACTTTTTTTATTTGAATTAGAAACAGGATTGTTTTACATGACAATCCCAGCCCCCCCCCATGCAACTAAAACCATATCTGTCACATATCTTTTCTGCTCCCCCTGGATGGTGAGGCCTTCCATAGGATGTCATCAGAGTCTTTCGTTTCCTTTGGGATAGGGCCCAGGCCCACCCCCGTGTGTCTTGGCTCAGGGAGTATTCCTCTATATGGACTGGGCTCCCAAAGTCCACACCTATGCTACGGATAAGTACTGAACTTCTACAGGAGGTCCCATAGATTTCTGAGATTTCCTCACAGAAACCCATGTTCCTGGGGTCTGGATCAGTCCCATGCTGGTATTCCAACTATCTGTCTGGGGAGCAAGAGTTCCCGGATGTTCAGGTCAGCTGTTTCTGTGGGTTTCATCAGCCTGGTCTGGACCTCTGTGCTCTTCAGACATATAAGTCAGTCATCAATCTCATAATCAGGGGAGGGCATTTAAGGTAGCCTCTGCTCTGTTACCAAGATAGTTAGCTGGTGTCATCTTTGTAGATCTCCAGACATTTCCCTAGTGCCTAATTTCTCTGTAAACCAAAATGTCTCCCTCTTTTATGATATCTCTATTCTTGTTATTGTGTATTCTTCCCCTCACTCATATTTTCTGCTCCCTCATGTCCTTGGCATCCCTCTTCCTCTCCCCTTCTCATTCTCCTAGGTCCCTCCCCCCTCTTCCCGTGCTCA